CAGGAAAAGATGCAGGGACAGAAACTACTTTTCTTGACTTCCTAGAAGGAAGCACTTTTACGACACGCTCTCAGCCCAGCTGGGCCAGAACCCTCGGAGCTGCAGGGAGAAGCCGAGAAAGGGGGAGGGGGGGGAGGAGGAGGGGGAGGGGGAGGAGGAGCGGGGGGGGGAGGAGCCGGTCTGCTGGCCAGGCTGCACAAAGGAGGGGACTGCCGTCCGGAGCCCCCACCGGCTCAAATGCCAAACGTTCAGCCCCACACCTTGCCCACCACAGGAATACCACCCAGGTGTGTTCCCGGGGACCCAGGCCGGCTCATTCCCACAGGGGCATCGCTGGCACATCCGCCGTGGCTTCCTGCAGCAGCTGCAACGCCAGAGACTTTGGGCGTCTGAAGCCGGTTTACGAGGGCTCCTTTCCAAAGCATCAGCGAGACTGACAGATTAACCTGGTTGGGGCGATGCGACCCCCCCCCCCAGTTTTCCTCCATTTTCTTTTCTTTTTTTTTGAAAGTGCTATCCAGGCCTCCATAAAAGCTCCCGGTGCAGCTCCCTGGGGAGTGGGTGCCCCTCATCCTGGGTTGCAGCTGGGAACCGGGGGGGGGGGGCAGGGGAGAGAGAGAGAGAGAGAGAGGGAAGAACGGGCCGGCCCACCTCCTGCAGATGGCATACATCCGGTTGACGGTGGAGATGCGGAAAGGCTCGTTCTTGGAGCGGGTCAGGCTGTTGCTCAGGGTGCCCAGGCCCAGGCGCTGGTAGTCCCGGCAGCAGGCTCGCTCCACCAGGTGGCTCATGGTCATCCTGTCGGAGGGCCTGACGGTGGCCGAGAGGGTCAAGGTGCTCCTCTCCACTTCTTCGGACACTGCGGGGGGGGGGCAGTCGGAGGAGCGTCAGGGGGCGGCCATGAAGAGGCCCCACCGCCCGCCCACCCCTGGGGGAGGGGGAGGGGGGCAGCCGCCCTACCAGAGATCTCATCCTCGTTGTCCTCGGGGAACGGCTGCTGGCTGCCCCGCTGCTCCCAGGGAGGCGGGTTGTACTTCTTGCGGGTGGCATACTGGCGGCCAATGGTCTTCTTGGCATTTTTTACCAGGTTCTTGGAGATGGTCCTAAAAGAGCAGCCAGGAGAGGTGAACCCCAGGCAGCCCCTCCCCGAGAGGCCTATCAGGAAGAGACCCCTACCCACCCCGCTTCTGCTGGACTTCGGAGCATCTGTCCCGGGAGCTGTTTGAAGAGATGCCCACCGGCCGAGGAGCCGGGACCCCCAAGCATTCGCCCCCCCGCCTTTCTGTCCCCCTCCCTCCCTCGCTTGTGGGCGCTGGGGCTAATGAGCTTCCCCCAGAGGCCTTGGCTTCCTTCAGGCTTGCTCAGGGCCACATGAAGTCACCCGGAAGGCGAGAGAGAGAAAATGAGGACCCTCCAGCCCCCCACCTGAGCGAGGGGTTCTTGTCCTTGGCCTTGGGAGGCAGGATGGGCTTGCTGGTCTGTCCCACCGTGAAGGCAAAGGTATTGGAGACGTGCTGGGGGTAGCGCAACTTGCTGAGATGCTTCCGGAAGGTCTCTGCGCTCTCGGAGGCCACTTCCTCGTCAAAGACAATGCGGAGCACCTGGAGGGCAGACCGAGGCCGGCTCAGGCTCCGCTCAGCTGCCTGACCTGAAGGTCTCAAGGGTCCCCAAGGGACGCGGCACCTGACCGACCTGCGCACTCACCTGGAATGTACAGGAGCGCAGCTGGAGCTGAGCACAGCCCTCCTGGATGAACTGATCCAAGGGAGTCTGGACTGTAATCTTCTCCTCTTTGGTCAGAGAGGCGATGGGGAAGGAGCGGACCACCACCTGCTCTCCCACTGGACCGAGGGGCGGATGGGGGTGGGGGGAGAAAGAGGGCAGGCCAGTGAGAGCCAGGCAGGAGCCGTCCCTTACAGCCGAGGGGCTGATAGCCAGATGGCACTGGGAGGGGCGGACAGCTCTGCCAACGGGGACCAAGTGACCCTCCGTGCTTCACCTGACTCCTCCCAGGGCGTGGGGGGGGGAGGAGGGGGGAGACCAGCTGTACCAGGTCAGCAGGTCATTGCGAGAGGGAAAGTAAGTGTCTGTCCCCAAAGAAGAGGTGGCCTGAGGGATCAATAGACTGTAAACTGCTCAGAGGGGGTTATAAAGCACTATGAAGCGGTATATAAGTCTAAGAGCTTTTGCTATACCGTCCTAAAGACTGAAAGAAATAAATTCTAGGAAGAAGAATGGAAAGAGCCGGGAGCATTTAGCCTTGCAAGAGGAGGGCTCTGTGTGTGTGTGTGTGTGTGTGTGTGTGCAAGAGAGGGGAGGGATTCTATAAATACTTGAGAGGATGGCACCCAGGGGGTGGCCAAGAGTCACTGTCTCTCAGCCAGCCTGCTTCAATTTGGGTTCCTGCACGGAGCAGACGGCTAGGCTTGGGGTCCCGGTGGCCTCTTCCAAGGACCTCCTCGGGGTCTGGCTTTTAGGACGGCCTGTCTTCAGATGCAGAGACCTTTCTCACGCTCCCCGCCTCAGATCCATGATACTCCCTCCTAGACGCCTGCACCACCCGGTGCCCTCTTACCTAGCGGGTCGGTGGGTGTGCCCTTGAAGATGATGCGGTAGGTGGTAAGGAAGACAGCTCCTTCAGCCGGAAGCAGAGGAGGCCCCCCGAGGCTGCCTCCAGCGCCTTCTTCCCTGCCATCGGGCACCAGGTAAACACGCAGACCGTCCATCACGCTCTCCTCTCCCATCAGCAGATTTGGCTGGAGGAGTTTGGGCTGCGAGAAGCAAGGGGGAAGCAGGAGCCTGCTCAACTCTAGCCAGAAGGCCGATGAGCCTGCAGGAACTGAGCCGCCTGCCCCACTCTCGGGGGTGGCAGCTCCCCCTCCCCAAGACACCCAGATTAGAGCGCTCACTTTCTGTATTGGAGGGAGCCTCTTGCTCTCTCGGTGCACGGCGTCCAGGGTCTCGATGTGCATCTGGACAATGTCTGGAGGTTGCAGGAGGACAGGAAATGAGAGCCCCTTTCCTGGCCGCCAACTCCCCTCCCCCGTCACCTCCCGACCAATCCTGGCTCAGGGGGCACCTGCCTGGGATCATGACATGCAGCCCCTTGAGGTGCTCGTTGGTGACGCCGCTCTCTGTGCAGACTTTGTCCACAAAGCGGTTGATGAACCGTACCACATAGTTGGCCACGTCGGAGCTTTCGGCGTCCTCAAAGCCGCTTTCGGTGTCGTAGCTGTCTGCCACGCTGCCAGCAATGCTGGGAAGACAGAGCGGCCCCTGAGCACAGCCACCCTCCTGTCCCCCCTCCCCCTCCCCCTCCCCCACCCGGCTCAGCAGGACCGTTACCTGCTGGTGATTAAGCTGTTGCTGACACTCTCTGCGTCTCCCAGTCCCGCGCCGCGCAGGAGCCTGTTCTTGCTGGTGTCCAGAGGCAGCAGGAGGTAGCTCATGCGGTTGGCATAGTGAATGGCTTGGCTGAAGACGGTGCTCTCTTCCTTCTGAATGAGCTCCTGCTGCTTCTCCCGGCTCATGGTGGGCCAAAGACGGCACTGCACAGCAGCGATATCCAGAGCCGACTCTTCCTCGGCCATCTGGGAGCCAGGGAAGCGGACCGGTTGATGAGCCGGGAGGCGGCTACCTCAAAAGCCCCTCCTCTCTTCTCCCTCCGAGCTCAGTCCTACCTTCTCAGCACAGTCCTCCTCGTTACTCTCCACGTAAAGAGCCCGAATGTGGTTCTGCACGTCACTGTAGAACATGGCTTCCCAAAACTGAAGGTTGGTCCACACCAGGTGCTCCTGCACGCAGCTGTAAGCAAACTGGGTGATTCCTGGGCTGAGTTTCTAGAGGACGGCAAAGGGAAAGAAAGGAAGGAATGGCTTGAGCGGAGGCCGCCCGTCTCCCTTCCCTCCTCAGCCACCGCAACTCCACCGATGCCAACGTCGGCCAGGCTACTTACGCGGCAAAAGGCAGTGACCAAGGGCAGAAGCGCAGCAGCAACCCCATGCTCGTCCGAGGCACTGCAGTCCTGTGGAGATAAGAGCAATGCTGCGGTTCAGCCCCAAGGAAGCCGGGCATTGGCATGAGGACGGGTCCCCAGACCGCCAGCCACACCTGCAAGCAGCAGTTCATCATCCGGACGATGAAGTCAAACTGCTGGTGGTCCAGCATGGCCCTGTTCTGCTGCACGTGGAGGTTCAGCTCCTGGGTGAGGCAGTGGCGAGCAGCCCGGCTCTTCATGGCCCGGAGCACAGCCGGCAGGAGCTGCAAGGCAACCGGGCAGCGCTCAGCAGGGGCCCTGCCTGCTTCCCCCACCCCACAGCCCTTCCTGCTCTGGGGAAGCCTGAAGCCAGCGGGGAAGGAGGCTCTGCTACTGCAAGCAATGGGGGCCGGAACCTGCCCTGAGAGGGGAAGCCTCGTCCAGGCCTTCTCCTCTTCCCCCCCACCCCCAACCTGCATTCTGGGGATTCTGCCCTGCTTTACGCTGCAAGTCACGGGAAAGGCATCCAGCAACTGTTCTGGCTCATGTTTCAAGCCTCTGATTGATAGATAATGGACCCTCCTTTTTTTAATTTCTACAATGAGAGTATTATGTGCAAAATGCACTCTAATTTCTATGAAAGTATTATGTGCAAAATGCACTACTAATGAAAGAATTTAGTGCAAAATGCACTCTAACATTACACATTGCTATTGGAAAAACCCGACCTTGGTGTGGACCCCAACCTTGGTGTGGAGGGAAGGAGGGCTGCCTATTCCAGGTCGCAACACACACACACACACACACCCAGCTCTCACCTTTTTGGCTTCCAGCATCTTGCTTTCAAAGACAAAGGAAATGCAGTTCCTGACTACCTCCAGCCGACGGGCACTATTGGCCAGCAGCATCCCGTTCCGCTCCATGAGGGTCCCTGGAGGGAAGAAAAGCCGACCTCTGTCTGGAGGCCCCGGGAAGGCACCCCCCCTGCCCGCCTCCAGGGCGCCACCGGGGCCAAATCTGGGCAGGGGAACAACCGGCAGCATCCTCACCTCACCCAGGCCAGCAGGGGCCTTCAAGGGCCTCCTTGCTCTGCGAGCTTTCTCTGAGTTGCTCTTTCCTGCAGCTGTTCCAGCTCCACATCCTTTTTCTGAACCTCAAAAAGGAGACCGTGGAGCTGGCAAAGACGCAGACAGAGGCAACCAGAACCGTTAGGAGGGGAGAGCAGCTCCTTCGGTAGGAACGGCTGGGGAATACAGAGCTTTTGAAGTCAGAATGAAGGCCGGGAAGGTGAAACATTAAAAAGCCACCCACCAGAGTGGAATAAAAGGCCATCCGGTGAATTTGCTGTCACCAGATCTACACAAGCGAGAAGTGTCACTAGTCCAGATGGTGGCACCGCATCTCCCGAGACAGGGGCATCTGCTGAGGAGCTGCAGTGGCACTGGGCGATCCCTCTCCTGGCCACTGGGGGCTTCTTGATGACCACATCATGACCCAGAAGGCTAGGAGGTCCTTGCCAGACCCTGCCTTGGGGCCCCTGTCTTATTAAACCTGGCACGAGTTGTCTAAAGCAGAGGCCCCCAACCTTTTGGGCACCAGAGGCCTGTTCTGTGGGGAGAGGTTTTTTCGCGGACTGGAGGGAGCGTGGTTCCGTGCGATGCCTGCATCTCGCGGATGGGGCTTCACTTGTTTGTGCGGCCCGGTTTCTGGCATGCCGTGGCCCGGTACCGGTCCGTGGCCCAGGGGCTGGGGACCCCTGGTCTAAAGGGAAGATCCGGGCCTCTGAAACCCACCCTGCATGCAGAAGATAAGGCCGACCATCCCTTTCAGAACTTGGCAGTCTCTGACCCAAACCGATCCTTTTAGTTATCAATAACTAATATTTTATGTTTTAATATTTTTTTCCCCAGGTGCTCAAGGGGCAACATACAGGACTGCCCAAGGGGTAGGCTGGATTGAGTGTGGAGCGGCCAGCCGGAAGGCTGCTTGGTTCTCCCCAGGGCCTCTCCACCGCCATTCATTTTCCCAAATGCCTTCGAGCCGCCCGTACCCTCGGCCTGGAGCCCTGGCTCAAACAAGGAAGGGAGCCTCTGGATTCACCCAGGGACCACGCCACCTCCCGGCTGCAACCGTCTCGGCACCAGCGGCTGGCACCCACATACCCAGGGGTGGCCCAGATGGCACCATGGCTTTCTTCTCCACCTTCACCAGAGGAGGCGCCGTCTGCTGTTTGGCCGTGGCCTGGTCAACAATCCACTGGATGGTCCCTTCGTCCAAATGGGGGAACGGCCTCTGGTGCAGGCGCAGGTGGCAGCCCTCCGTGGGCTTCTGCACCTTGTGCATCGTCACTGCTGGGTAAGGGTTTTCCTGGACCAACGGAGGCAACAGGCCGAGTCACAGAGCAGCAGCAGCAGCAGCAGCACCACGCAGTCCAGGCAGCCAAGGCCAAACCCATGGAGGGGCAGCCTGGGCTGGGGCCAAAGCTCATCACCACCCAAGCGAGCTGGGCCCCCGACAGAAACGGAATCGGCGGGACTCCCTGGACAAGACTTGCCTGAGCAAGAATAGGGATGTACGGCTGGGTGCCAAAAAAAACAACCCTCCGCTGATTCGGAGTGTGTGTGTGTGTGTGTGTGTGTGTGCGCGCGCGCGCGCGTGAGAGAGAGAATGGGGGAGGAGGGGAGGAATCCAGCCAGGCGCCTATGCAGTGCGGGACCTGCGTCCCCTGCCCAGTCCTCAAAGCGGGAACGAAGCAGGAGATGCCGCTGCTCTCCGGGGGTGGGCGAGGGGTGGGCGGGCGAGGATGCCCCGGAGGGCCTCTGCCTGCAGGGCTGGCTCTCTTCCTTACACCCAGGGCTATGGCGGCATACGTTTTTGTACAGCTGCTCTGCCAGCTCCTTGATGTGGCGCAGGACCTTTGCCTTGTTTCCTTCATCGGCCTGCATCCGTTTGGCTTCACTGGCCACAAGCTGAGAAGCAGGAAAGGAAGGAAGGTTCCCTTTAAGCACCCTAGGTCACGCCACGCACGCACCCATCGGCCAGAGGATCATGGGGGTGGGGGTGCCTCAGGGTCCTTCCCCACAAGCCGCTCACCTCATCGAACAAGTCCGACTCCCGGTAGGGGGGGCCCCTCTCGGTCACAAAGCCAGCGAAGGCCATGCCTTCCAGCACCCTGGGGAGGAACTCGTCTTCCACCAGCCCCCTCTGCCCCAGGAAGGCGGCCTGCAGCAAGCAAGAGAGAGAGAGAGAGAGAGAGAAGCCTGGGAAGGAGGGGGGGCCCTGTGCCGAGGAGGAAGGCCAGAGGCCAGGCCGGCCCACAGCCCAGCCCCTCTCCTGCTGAGGGACGGGGCCAGCCCTGTTCTGGGCGTGGGAGCTCCCGTTCCTGATGAAAGAAGTCCCACCCCCTGCACCCTGCTGGGCATAAAATTCAACCCTCTGCACTGGCTGACTGGGTCACTGCCAAAGGCTCCCCTGAACAGACTTCCTACGCCGGGTGGACGAGAGAGAATTCGCCCTCGTGGCTGCTCACTCTGACCACTCTCCCCTGCAGCCTACCTTGTGGAAGCGAATGACCGGCTCCGGGTGAATACGGATGATGTGCAGGCACCAGCGGTAGCCCTGCAGCAACTGGGCAAACAGGCGGAGGAAGACTGCCCGGATCTCCTTATCCTGCAGCCAGACGGGCGAGGGAGAAGAGAAGGTCAGAGGCAAAGAGGGGCACCGAGGTGGGGGGCATCCACCGTGGTCCCGCAGCCCTTTGGCAGAGCTGTGCGCTGAGCACCCCTGCAGCCCAAGGAAGACGCCCAAAGTCAAGGCCAGTCGGCTTTTCTGCAGCTTGCTCTCATTTACCTGCATCTTGAGGGAGGAAGCAGAGATGGTGGAGGGTGCGAAGGCCAGATCTGCCATCTCCAACTCTGGGTCCAAGACCTGCTCAGACAAAGTCAGGGATTCGTTCAAATTGCGGGGTGGGGTGGGGGTGGGGGTGGGGGTGTTCCTCCATCGCCCTCTCTCCAGGGCCACAACTTGTGAAGCAAATGCAACTTTCCCTCTAAAGGGAGCAGATTTGCAGCTGCACAAAGGACAAAAGAGCAGAAGCCGTGGGCCTGTCTTTCCAGACAGCAGAAGAGAAGGCTCCGTGTATTTGGACCGTGTGAGCTCAGCTGGTGGGGAAGGAACTCGCATAAACAAAAGCCCCCCTTAAAGGAAAACCAGAGGAGTTCGACCTTGGCTCTCCTGCCCAGGACTCTTTTTCCACAGAGAGGGAAGGGTTTCCATTGCATTTTGTGAGCCTCCATTAGCCACCTGAAAAGGACGCAGGGCTAACTCTGCTCCCTGGGGGGGGATTACCGCCAGCCTCCCTGGCCCTCCAGAGTCACCAAGAAAAGAACCGAAGGGCTCACTGCAACACTTCAGAACCCACACCAAACGCCAACACTAACAGCCAGTATAACGGAGTGGGAGCGGTGGCTCCACCACCAGAGGTTTTCAAAGGAGGACCGAACAGCTTTTGTCTGGGACGGTCTGGGGGTCCCTGTCCTGGGTAGGGGAGCTGCACAGGAAGACACCCCCCCTCCCAGGTTCCTTTTGATGCTGGGATTCTAGGAAACGGAAGGATCCCCAAACCGACGGATGGGCCACAGGCTAAGACGGCAAGAGGTACCTACAGGGGCCACCCCCGAACACGCTCTTAAATGCACACACCAAAGAACTACTAGATTGTGGGTCTTGCTGCTGTCAGCCCCACGAGTTGGACCCGATCAAGAAATTAACTGCACCGGAAGGCTAAAGCTATTTTTATTTAAACTGGCTACAAAAACAGAGTCTTACATGTCTGATGGTGCTGTACCTCTTCCCCCTTCTTATACTCCAGTGAACCAGGGAGGTGCCTGCCTGACCCACTCCCGAAGGTCATCTGGTTGCTCTGGACCTTAAAAAATGCCTCGGCACCTTTTGCCAAGGTAGCAGTTTTGGCCTATTTCTACCAAGATCACCTCCCTTACTGTCTACGGCGGCCTAGGAGAAAAGTCTCCTCGGTTCCGTCACTCCGCCTGTCCGCTCGTTCGTGGGCCCCAGCCCGACTGCACTGGCCACAACGTAGGGAGGGGTGTCCTTTCAACTGTCCCCATCCTGTGGCCTGAAAGTTGTCCTCGTCCACTTTTTGTGCAGTTAACAAAAAAAGGCAATTTCAGTGTAGTTTCCCTATGATTGGACGAGATCCCACGGACACTCGTGATTCTAGGCTTTATCTACGCTGCATCTTCTATGCCGCCCAGAGTCATCTCTGTGAATTGGGCCAGTGTGTAAAGGCGACAGACATGCAGATTAGCAAACAGGTAAAAACGGAATTTTTAAGTAGGAATGGGTAACTTCCGAGATGTGTGATAAAAGTAGAAGAGGCAGGGTTAAGAATAGACATACACACCCATCACATACACACTACTCCCTTTTGGGCTATGGAGGGTGGAGAGACGGAGCAAGGAGTGGTCAGCCAAAGAAAGGGAAAGGGGGAGATAAGAAAGCGAACTAAGAGGCAGCTTCCACACACACACCCCACCCCCCTTTTCATATCTTGGCCTTCCACTGCGCCCATCAGCTCCTCCACACCTTCCTTGCCTTCGGCTCCTTACACTGCCGGCCTTTCCCATCAGCTCAGCCCACCGGCTTCTCCTCCTGCTTCGCTCTCCCTGCCTGCCCTCGTTTTGGGAGCCAAGAGCTCCTACAGGCCCGAGCCTCCTCTGCCCGCTGACGTCGCTCTTTCTTGGCTGGGGCTCAGCCAGCGCCTCCCCTCGTGCACCCCAACCCTTAAATGAAATATTTCACTACATTCATTTTTCTTTCTCCTGACATTGTTGCTTCCGGGCAACAGGGTGGGCAGAAGTATGTTATTACACAAAGATATTTTTCCTTCTTCTGGAAACATGGAACATAAATGGAGCAGATGTGCTTCTCAGAAAAGAAAAATTTCGTTTTTTTTTTTAAATTAAAACAAGTCATAATTGGGTTACAAGAGGTTCTTGGGAATGAATTATTTCAGGAATTAAAAAAAATAAACTGAGTGGTTTTACATGTTAATCCCTAATTAAAACCAGAACCTGCATTGACTGATGAATGTGGAAGATTTCTTGGGGCAAAAGTTGAATAACATGGAATTAAAATTATGATGTTGACACTCTACACCCCAAACAACTTAAAGGAACTTTTTACAAACAACTTGTGAAACAATTCAAACGTTTTCCCTATGAAAATTGGAGATTAGAATGGAATTATTTCTCGCTATTACATAGAACATCACTTTTTTTTATTTGATTCAGCATTAAGGACAGAAAAAATGGAAATTCTAGAAATTGTATTTATTTTTCAGAAAGGTGTAGATCATTTTCAAAAATAGATATGATTTGGACCTCAAAAAATTTGGCTCCTAAGATTTCTAAAGTTGAAATTTTATCAAAGTTTTTTTCTGACTATAAATTCATTAAATTTATTGGCTGCCTATTTCACTATCCTAAGTAGCTAATAATGCCACAAAAGCAAATATTAAAATTAACAATTAAATAAAGGCTAAAAAAACAAGAGGATGAATGGTGCAGGAGTGGACTTTTGCCTCTCACTCAACCCTGTCCCCCTCCAGCACAGGAGACCCCCACCAGGGCCACTGGCAGGGCCCGGGTTAAAGGCCCTCCCGGAGTGCCAGAAGGGGGCCTTACTGTGGGCACCTTCTGGGCAGATGTTCCTGCACACAACACCCCAGCTACCTGGCTGCGCCATTCAGGATAGGCTGCTCCTGCCTGCAAATTACTCCCTGCCACTCTGTGCAGCACCATCTCTGAGGCCTCTCTGTACAGTCGGCGCCTTGGGTCCCGCCTATTTTATATGTAAGTAAAATAACAGCAGCCTGATCTTAATATGCGCAGTGGTGGAGAGATCTGGCGTTACTCGCAATGAAAGAAGGAATGGTGAAGTTGATGGAGCTGGCTGCAATGACAAAACTGACCATTTGGATTAGAGAAAAAATACGTCCTGCTCTCTCTATATGTAGAACAGAGAGAGAATCAAGGGACTCGCTTACAAGCCAAGCCAAGGCGGGGAGGGGGGGGTCCTCATCCCACCAGGTCACAGGTAAATGCTATTTCCTGACACAGAAGAGGTGCCAAGAATGAACAAGGATGAGGAAATGTGGATTGGATGTTGCAGGGAATGGACAGCAGGCTAGGGGTGATTTGCTAACAGAAAAATGAGAAAAGAGAAAAAATGAGAATCAAATTGCAAAAGAAATACAGGAAGAAAAAGAGAGTCGGTTGAGGGGAAGGGAGAATCTCAAAAGTTGTGGTTGTGTGGAATTGAGGAGATCCTGATAAAGAGGGGAGAAATTACAAAACAAAAGACATCATGAAGACATTTATGGGTGTAATTGCAACAAAGATGGTTGGCAAGGAAAGAAAGGTAGGGAGAGACGTTGCCTATATTTCCTCTTCTTGGTCATATGTTTTTGTTACTTTTGCTGACTGTATCTCAGTCCTTTTATGTATTATCCCCAAAGTAAATAGTATGATGGGTGTAAATGTTACATATGTAGGCACAATTTTATTGTGTTTGGTTTTACCAGACTAAAACATTTATTTCAAGTTTGCTTTGCTTGAAACAACCTATTAACCTGAAGCCAATAGTTTTCTCAACTCTTTCAGAAAGGCATTGGGGGGGGGGGAATACTTTAAACAGAGATCCCATTACTTTGCTTTAATGCTTTACATTAGTTTAATTTTGTTTTAATCAACTTGGTGACAGCTGAGCAGAAATACCTGGAAAAATTACAAATGTTCCCAAACAAACAAACGGAACTGAAAACCACCCTACAGCTCTCCAAGAGTAGAAAAACATCTGACCCTGCCACCAATTATACAGCTCCGAACAGCTTCTGAAACTGAGCCCCCCACTCCCACCCCCAGAGACGACGAGGGACGTTCCCCTCGGGACCAGCCGCCTCCTGCAGAAACGGCATCTGGGGACCGAAAGCTCCCCACGCTCAGGGCACCAGCCGCCCCAAGAACAAAGTACCGGGCATGGCGGCGCCGGCGCCTTTGGTGTTCCCCCATCTAGCTTGCCCCCCCTGCCCGCTTTTGTTCCCACTCGGCCAGGGTTCTCCAGCCCCCCTGCGGACACCCTCCCCCCCCCGAGAAAAGAAGGGAGGCCACACTCACCATCGAGAGGGCTTGGCGCGTCTGATGGAGGAGAGGCTCAGGCATCAAAGAGATGTGGATGCACTCCGGGATGGTGACTGTCCCTCCGTCGAGATCCGCGATGACCACGTCCAGCTGGGGAAAGCGACAGAGGCCTCACGTACACAGCAGCCTCCCCGGGGCCCGACTCAAAGCCTCCCTGCCAGTGGACCCAGGGCTTCTTCCCGGAAAGGGGCAGGACGCAGGAGCCCGAAACGGGATCCCTCTGGTGCTCCCAGGGGGCCAGACTGGCTCTCGTGCGATGAAGCCCAAAGTGCAGGACTGGCTCTGCCGCCGGCATCCGTGGCATTCAAGGTAAACCACAGTCATCGCAATTTGGTCACTGCTGACAACTGTTTCTTCCCTGAATCGGTCTTACTTTCACTGCCGAGTTGGCGACCCCCACTACGTTTTGTGAGGCCAAATTCTGTAAGGAAATGTTGTCTTTGCTCTGCTATGAATTTTCTACCCACTCACTCGCTGCCACTCTCCCCCCCCCCCAAACTGGTCTCCCTGGATGCCAGGACGAGGGCCGCAGGGAAGCTGACCGGAAGGAGATTCAGAGCAGACGAGGGGGGACCCCTTCACCCTGCACTCATTTCCTCAAGACAGGGTGAAGATTAATAATCGGGGGCTTTAAAGGGGGACTGGATGACTTCAGGGAGGACAGGGGTTTCCAGGCGTTCAGTCTCCATGTTACCTCCAACTGGGGGCAGCCTCCCTCCAGAGACCCACTGCAGGGGAAGGGTGATGGGAAAGGGGCAGCCTGCCTCTCATTAGCGCCACAGAGGCATCTGGTCAGCCATTGTGAGAAACCAAGAGCTGGACCGAGATGGGCTTTGGCTTAATCCAACAGGGCTATTTCCATGTTTTTGTCCTAGCCTATGTGTTCACCCCAATCTTTAATCTAAGGTCAAAGAGTCCTGTACACTGTCGCCCATTCTTGCGATGGGTTTCAGCAGCTCTCTTCTGCTGCCGTCGTTAAGCAAAGATTGTGGGCCTTTAGGCAAGGACCTCGCGTGACTACAACTTGCAGCTTCCTCCTGGCTCCCAACAAGCAAAGGCAACGGAGAAGCCAACAGGAAGCGACAGGTGGCCGGAGGCTCACGAGTTAAGTGGTGGGCAGAGGATCTGCCAAGCACCAGAACGGTCATCCTACGAGTAGCTGGAGTTTCAGGGACTGGTCCTAAGTACCACTTGTTCTGCACTGGCACAACTTTGAATGGTGATTACCTCAAGAGGACCTGCATGGAAAAAGCCCCTCACTAACCCTAACATTCCCCCCCCCCGGAGGGCGGCTCAGGAGAAGAGCCAAGGCCATCCCAGAAAGCAGGAACAGGGAAGCGAGCCGCCCACTAGGAAATCCAGCCTGCTTCCAAAGCTGGGCTCCCAATCCAAGGTCTGCCGTGCTTCCTGATGCCCAGGAGGTGAACACTCCACTCACCAGCTCTTGAGTCTCTGACTGGAAGACGGAGCTGACTCCGATGACGAAGGGGGTGGGTGTGCTGAGGACCTCCAGCAGCTGAGCGGGCAGGATGGGCACATACGTGAAGCTGTAAGCAAGAAACCCACAAAGCAGACTCCTCAAAGGAAGGCTCTGTGGGGCTCCCAGGGACCCGCTCAGTCCAAGAGCAGCAGCAACAGCAGCAGCTCGGGGCAGAGTGTGATCTGCATGGGGGTGGATGAGCTCCAGCTGCCTGGGCCTCTCTTTACTGACCTGTACTTCAGGGGAAAGAGGAGGGCAAGCAGGGCGCGACAGGCGTCGGTCAGTCTCTGGTAGCTGCTGGAGAGGAAGAGGATCTTGTGCTCGGTCAGGGCCGCACAGAAGAGAATCAACACGTTGGTGATTCCTGGAGGACGAGGATGAGGGTCAAGGCTGAAGGAGCCTCTCTGAGGCTTGCAGTGGGGCTGCCCGGCGCTGCAGCCATTCAGCCACCAACAGAAGAACCCCAACCGTCCTGTCAGCAGGCCCTCTCGATCCGGAGACGCTGTGGCCCCCCAGGACCGACAGCCTTGGGGTTTCTGGGACTGGGGCCAAGCCTCCCAGGAACAGCAGTAGCACGGAGGGCCGAGCCCACCCAAGAATGGAGCCCCTCCCAAGCAGCCTGAGCGGCCTCACCTAGCTGTCGGAAGAGGACAGCCACGCTGCAGTTGCTGACGGGGAGGGAATCGCTGATAGGCGTCTGGATCACCTGCCTGTCGCCTGCGCCCAGGGAAATGGTCCTCTGCAACAAGGGGAGAGAAAGACAGGCCCCCCAGGGTCAAAGACCGCAGAGGCCCAAGGAACGGAAACCGGTGGGAGATCAGCTGCTCTTGGCTACTCCTCCTCTCACAAGAGCAGCTGAAAGCCCGAAAGACCACTGCAGTCCCACTGGCAGGAGTCCGGAGAAGCTCTCAGACGTGGTGAAAGACATGTCTCGCCCCACCAGGTACAAAGCCAAGGTGGCCGGCTGCTGCTCAGTCCCGTGGCTGGGGGAAGGGCCTGCGCGGTCTGAGCCCCTGGAGAATTAAAGGCCACCAGGATGGCTCCCCGGCCCCTTCTGGGCCCTGCAACGTCCAGCTCAGTACCCTGCCTGCCTTCCCCCAGCCTCACACATCCTCTCTCTCCCTAGCACAAAGGGGCCAGGGAGCTGCTCCTGGCCACCCCAGGCCTCTGGAGCCCCCCAGGCCTCCTCTTGGGGAAGAAGGCAGCCCCAAGGAGAGAAAAGTCGTGCATACCGCTGCTTCGTCATCCAGGTCAGGCTGAGATAGAGACAGACAGAAACAGCACAATCAGTTAGAAACACAGCACAACACAGACCGATGGCCAAGCGACAAAAAGGCAGCAAGCACACACACAGCAAAGGGCCACAAGGTAGCAGCACAAAGCGGGGGGGGAGGGGAACAGGAGGAGGAGGAGGAGGAGGAGGAGGAGGAGNGCCCTCTGGAACCCTCCCAAGCAAACCACGGCCACTTTTAAGATGGACAGCTATAGAAATCAAATAAAGAAATAAGTAAACAAATTGGAATATAGCTGCTGTGCTATTTTTGGCAAATAAAAAATAAAATAAACAAAGCCAGTGAGTTAATAGACAATACACACATTTTAGAAGTCCCTCTAATGAAAAATGAAGAACCAGCAGCAAAAAGACGGCTGGTCCCTGTAAAATCGGAAAAGGCAGAGAAAGAGGCCCCCCGGGGCCCCCCTTTTCCTCAGGGCCCGGTCTGGAGAAACCCTCCGTGCTCCTATGCCTCAGCCTTTCCGAGGACAGCAACAGAAGTGAGGTGTGGGAAGGGCCTCCCTGCCTGGGAATGCATGCCCCTCCCCGCTCCGCCCTGGGCCTCGGTCACCGGAGGTTCAGCGATTTGGAGCAGATGCAGAACTCACCTGGGAGCCCCCCGTAATGGGGATGGTGCACGTCAGGAGATTCCCAATCACCGTCTCTAGAGAGGTGCTCAGTCCGTCCACGTAGATGGTGTAGATCAACCCCAGGCTGTTCTGTGGGGGCACAGGACATATTGATGGCTCTGCCAGGGCAGCACTGAGGGCGAGGGAGGGAGGGAGGGAGGGAGGGAGGGAGACTGACCCTCAGCAGGTTCCTCCCTTTCCCAGCCACCTGAGACTTAATAAGGCGGCAGGGCCTCCCTGGGCTTTAGGTGGAAATCTTAACAACTGGGCTCGGAGGAGGAGGAGGAGGAGGAGGAGGGGGAGGGGGAAGAGGAGGCAAAGGCATGCAGAGGCCTACATGGTGTGACTCTATCTCTGTGCAGCCTTTGACACCACACTCTAAATCAAATGAGTATTTTCCATAGATCAGCATAATAATTCTGAACGGCCTCAAAGCCTGGGAGTTGGGGGCACTGTACTGCAGTGGTTCCCCCTTTTCCAAGCTTTTAAAAAGGTTTTCACCTGCATTTGACTTGCATTTAATTCATGTTGCTTTACACTGCTTTGCAGTTGCCAAGATGGCGTTTTATAATTTGCATTTTACAGTATTTTCTGTTTTTGTTCAAACTGAATTTAACTATGATTTATTGCAATCTGCTCAGACAGCTTTGGCTATTAAGTGGTTTAAAATTTGTAACAAATGAACTAAAAAATAAAATATTCAGGGTCACAACGCCTGCTCACCCTCCCGTGGTCATGTGATCACCACCTGCCAGCTTCCCACCAGCAAAGTCAAGGGGGCGGCTGGCAGGGAGGGCAGCAAGTCTCTCTGGCGAGTCTCCCGCCCCCGCCCACCCCCCACCCTGCAGCTGCCGCCACAAGCCTTGCCCGGCTGGCACCACGCTGACCACTTACAGCCCCCTGCGCACCTCCCTGCCAGCCTGAGACCTCCCTGCCAGCTTTCCCAGCGACTCGGGTGGTGAGAAGCCATGAGGAAGTTGGGGGGGGGGCTCCTTGGCCCAGGCTTAACACTGGCAGCAAGGACTGCCAGGATTGCCACTCGATTAGAGCTGGCCAGGCGGCAGTTGAAGTCACCAGCTTAGCCAACATGAAAACGGTGCTTGGGGTATTTAGTGGTGAGATCTGGCATGCTTTTTTTTTTTATTATTAATCCCTTTGCAGCATGTCTTGGGGGACAAACCAGGCAGTTTTTTGAAGCTCCCCCACTGTTGACTGTTTCAGTCTCAGCCTAACTCCCCGGGGAGGCCTGTTTAACGGAAGGCTGGGGTTACTTTGGCTTAAAACTAACCCCCTCCTGCAGGCTGGGTTCTTAGCATGCGCACAACACCTTAGGCATAAGGAAGCCTTTGATGCAAACTCAACCTCTTGGGCCTCAGGACTGAGCCTTTAGGGAGGTGGGTGAAGTGGGGGGAGGGGTCCTACCCAAATTAAGACGTCCAATTCAAAGTGTTAGCTGGTTATGCTCTTGCCCTGGAGGAGCCAAGCAGAGCCAAATCTGATGTTTGTTTTATCTTAAACTAAAATAGGTAAATTTCTACTTCTTACTACGGTGTCAGTTGTGCAAATCTTACAGATAAGATCTTGGCGTAACGGATCCAAGGAAAGCCCTGGAAGAGGGTCTCTCCTCCTCCTCCTCCTCAGAAGATACCACCCTCAGGCCAAGGGTATCCCTGGATGTTCAGGCTGAAATGAGTAACTTAAATCCCGTGACTAGCGGCAGCGTACCCTCAACAGATCACAGAATTGGAAAGGACCCCACAACTCTAATCTAGTGCCTTGCTCAGTGCAGGGCCTGCTGCCCTGGAAGCGTAGACCAAAGGGGTCTGACCCCTTGCCCACCACCTGCAGAACTTGCCCTGCAAGTGGCTCCCCCAAGACAGACACGGAAACCGGCAACTCAGTGACGAAAACCTCCGTCATTATCCACACTCACTGAAGGAGAGATTTATGCCCTTCCTTTAAAAATACTCGGTTCTTCTAAGTCAGAGGAAGGCAGAGTCTGGGAAAATGTTGGGGGAAACTGGCAGCGGAGAGCTGCACTCGGCTCAGTGATTCAAGCAGAGGCTGGTTGAGCCGAGGTGGAGCAGTGGTCAGAATGCAGGACTGCAAGCTCCTTCGGCCAATTGCCGGTTGCCAGCAGTTCGGCAGTTCAAGTCTCACCGGCTAAAAGGCCGACTCAGCCTTCCGTCCTTCCGAGGTCGGTAAAACGAGGACCCAGATTGTTGGGGGGCAAGAGGCTGACTCTGCAAACCTCTTAGAGAGGGCTGTAAAGCACTGTGAAGCGGTATATAAGTCTAAGCGCTATTGCTAAGGGCTATTGATGGCTCTGCCAGGTGGATTCCTGCATCAAAACTGGGACTGAATTCAGGGACACACACACACACCCCGCCTTCTTCCGACTCTGACTCCGAAAAAAGGCGTGCCAGCCAAGATTGAGAGTTCTGCAGCCTGACTTTGCAGTGCATCCATCACCCAGACAGCTGCCATTTCAGAATGCTTTATGGCCTCGTAAATGCTTTGTGTGCTTCTCCTAGTTCTGGACAAGCTGCACTTTCTACAGGCTTAACAATACGATTAAAAACATAAGAAGGGAGAGCCCAGACTGCCGGGAGCTAACGAATGGTAAACCGTGGTTTATGGTGACCCACCTTAGGCAGAGGTTGGTTTGCCAAACTGCCCAGCAAGCCTTACCCGGAAAACCTCCGTGTGGTCCAGCCGAGAGACAAGCACCAAACTCTTCGGGGCGAAGAGCTGTGAGGGATGGACAAGGGTGGTCACCTCCAGCTCCTCCACTTCTTCCTTCCTCCAGCGATTCTGCAGCTGCTGGGGGGAAAGGGGTGGTTACGTAAGCCCGCTGGCTGAGATAAGCTGCCCACCGGGGACTGGCACAAGGGCAGAGAAAGTGGGATCCCCCTTGCGCTGCTCCGTACCCAGTGGAGGTCCTCGCCCCAAACGGGGTTCAAGGTGAAAGGCCTCTCTTTACCTGGACGCTTTCAATGGCCTCCCAAAAGGTGAAGCAGGCACAGTAATGGCGCTCCGAGTTGATGTCAGTCAGGACAGCAATGAAGAACGTGGGAGGGTTTCTCTCCCTGAAAAGCTGCCATCCGCTCGGCTGGCAAAACTGCGAAATGAGGTATCATCGTTAGGGCAGCCCCCAGTTCTGTCAGGATCCCTCCTTCCCCTCCCTGGGGGGGGCCTCACGCCCAACTGCAGAGAGGGCGCCCCTCCTTTGGCCAGGAAAGGTTTTCTGCCTCGAGGAAAGAGGCGCCCCTCTCCCAGGGGTGCCACCCCCAAGCCTTCAGCCTGGACCTCTCCCCTCCAATCACCACAGACTGGCATCGACCCCAAAGAAAGGAGGAGAACCAGCACAAGGCATTGCGGCCCAACCCACGGAGCTCGTCTGGAAGGATACCGCGACTGATGGGGGCACCAAAGACCTCTGAGAGGTCAAGCTGGCCAAGAATGGAGCCGTGGTGGCGCAGTGGCTAGAAAACTGGAGTTCGATCCCGATGGAGCTCAAGGCTGACTCAGCCTTCCAGCCTTCCGAGATCGATAAAATGAGGACCCAGATTGTTGGGGGCAAATAATGCGGACAGTGTAAACCATCCAGAGAGTGCTTAAAGCAGAATTCCCCAAACCTTTGGGGTTGGCGGCCTGGAGCGGGGGAGGGGGGAAAGAAGAGATGGTTTTGTGGGAGGGGTAAATGCATGGGCACACATGTGTGCACGCTCAAAACACCCATTGCTTGCACAAGTGGTTCCGCGAGCGCCCACGATGCTCGTGTTGATGTGGCGAGGGCTCGCACATGGGGCCGCAAGCACCCACGTGAGTGGGGCTGTGCACGCGTGCCCACGCACTTGCCAGCCAGCCACTCACGCCGCCTGGTGGCTAATAGGCTGCAGCCAGGTAGTGGACTGTGGCCCACAGGCTGGGGACCCCTGCTGTAGGGCACTGTGGAGCGGTATGTAAGTCTGAGCGCCACTGCCGTTGCTATAGCCCTCCTCTTCCTCCTCCTCCTCCTCCCCCCATCCTTGCCAGAAACCACCCAAAGGTGCGACCGGTGCCCTTTCCATCCCATATCCAGGCCTGAATCCTGCACCATCCTATGCGATGTTCTTGGGGGAGGGGGGCGAACCAAGGCCTCCTTAAGAGGTGATGGAACAACACACGCACACACACACACACCCCACAGCTCTAGTTAGCCAGGAGGGGCATGGGTCTAAAGAGCAGGCAGCCGACTCGCAGTCCAGAGGGCCCTATCTCCATCTTGGGCTGACTGAGCAATGACCTCTGAGGTCTGTAGAGGTCTGGGTGGGGGGCAACAGGTTTCACCTGACCCGTAACAGGACAGGATGGGGGTCCCTCCCACCCCGCTTCTGGAGATGCTTCATCTCCCCAGACAGAAACGGTATGCTCTATCAGGGGGCTCCCTTGGAGCCTTGAGGGGCTGCCACAGAAAAGAGGGGGTGGCCTTACTCCTCAGAGCACCTGAGGGCAGGACGAGGAGGAGTGGCTGAAAGCTTGTTAAAGAGAGGTCCAACCTAGGAGGAGGAATTTTCTGACAGTGAGAGCAATTAATCCCAGCTCACGTGAGCTATCCAAGGGCTCCAGTGGGCGCCTAAGTGCATTTTAAGGTGCTGGTGGTTCACTATAAAGCCTTCTGTGGCATGAGGACTGGAAACCTGAATGACCGCCTTTCTCCAGGAGTCTCTACCTGCCCTATTGGATCTGGCAGAAGAAGTATGCTATGGATCCCATCAATTAAGAAAGTGACATTTTGCGGGACCCGGGAAACGTGCCAGAGGGCGAGAGAGGAGATGGGCCTGAAGGTGCCAGCCTCCCAGAAAGTGCCGGTTCGCCCAGACCTGAAGCCCGGCTGGGCTGGTGTCACTTTATAGGTGCCTTTTTGGGTGCCTTTTTGATTTGAGTCATGGGCTTCTGTGCCTTGCTGTGCGTGTGCTTAGGGCTTAGACTGGCCTCCGTTGACACTGTACGGCCCACTGGAGCGAAAGGAACACAGTGACCCAGGTCTAGGAGAAAAGCAGACAACCCCCAAAACAAATACACACACAGAACGAATGGGACTCCGGGAGTCGCTCTCCATCCCATCGTCCCTCCGCTCTTCCTTGTAGCCGGGCAGCAGCCCACTCACCAGCTCGATCCCCTGGGGGAAAGGGTTGTCCTCCCAGTCCTTTTCGGGAAAGCGCTGGAGTATTTGGCCCTGGCCGTCTCTGCTGCCTGGAAAGGAAACCCGAAAGCTTTAGCTCCGGCGGCCTCCCCCCCCCCCCGGTGCCCTGGAGGGAGCGGGGCGGCCACCCTGGCGACTCCTCCCGCCTGGCTGAAACAGGAGGAGTTCAGAATTTCATCTGGTTTATACTTCCTCAGAGGAAGGATAGCCACAAGAGTATCCGTCTCTCAGATTTAGTCACTACAGACAGTCCTCGACTTACACAACCGTTCATTTAGTGACCGTTCAAAGTTACAACGGAATTGAAAAAAACTGACCCATATTTACGACGTGTTTTTCACACAACCGTTGCAGCATCCCCGTGGTCACGTGATCAAGATTCAGACATGTGGCAACTGACCCATATTTACGACGGTTGCCACATGTCCCGGGGATCACGCAATCCCCCTTGGTGACCTTCTGACAAGCAAAGTCAGTGGGGGAAGCCGGATTCACTTAACGACCTGGTGTGACTGACTTAACAGGTCGGCTAAAAGCCGAGGACCCAGATGGTTGGGGGAGGGGGGGCGCCAAGAGGCACGAGTCCCGTGAAAGGACTGTGAAACGGCATGTAAGTCTACGTTCTCTTGCTATGATTTGTATTATTTGTACTGAAAAAAGTTGGAGGTCACTATTGTTATATACTTATTTGATTTTTTTTGTCCTGCTATTCCCTTTTCTTTTTATGTTAAACGTTTGATTTTGAAATTTAATAGATGTATTTTTTGTCCTGCTATTCCCTTTTTTTTTTATGTTAAACGTTTGATTTTGAAATTTAATAGATGTATTTTAAAAAATTATTTTAAAATAAAAAACATTAAAAGCTATTAAAACAAAGCTAAAAAGAAAAAATAAATATTGGACAAATGGATGTTTATTTTTACCGCTATTAAAAAAAGTAATAGAAAAAAGGAACAAAAACAAAAATAATCATGATAGAAATCCATATATTAGTACATAATTCATTTAAATACAAATTGGTTTTTATAGGGCATAATTCAGTTGAACACAAATCAGTTTTATTTGCAGATGACATTTTTCTATTTATTTCTAACCCGGTCCTGATGCAAATAATAGATGCCTTTAGTAAAATAGCAAGATATTCTATTAATTGGTCCAAATTGGAATTGATGCCAATATGTGAAAATTTGATCACCCATCCATTTAAGGAATGTCAATTCCGGATTTTTATTGGATTCATAAAATATTTAGGTATGTATATACCAAAAGATATAATGTAGTTAGCAACATGTAATATAAATAAAATATATAGAGATTTCTTAGATACTGATAAATAGCCATTAAATCTCACCCTTTGGGGAAAGGTGAATACTCTCAAAATGAATTATCTCCAGATTAATTTATATTTGGAAGAATTCCATATACTTGGAAAATATTTTTCAAAAATATATTTGATTAGAAAATATTTATGGGGTTCTTCAATTACCAGAATATCTTTACAGAAAATGCAATTACCAATTAATGAGCGATTCAGTTTCCCAAATCAGGAGCTTGATCACCACGTTAAATGTCCACATGCTACTAAAACTCTCAGGTCTGTTGCCTTCCACTTCCACTGGGTGAAACGGTGCATCAGAGGGCCCTCATTTCTGAGCCATGGTACCAGGCTGTCAGTTGCAAGAAATCAGGAAATCCAGGCCGTTCAGGTGAATATATAGGTTTATTGCAAGCTAATGCTCTCTACAAGAATCTGATCTGCTAACAGTCAAAGCAAATTGACAGTAGATAAGAGTCAACAGAATTCAAGGTGGGCTGGACTGAGATCTCTGGTGGGCACGAAGGGACCCCAGACTGATGACGCGTTTGACCCCACTCCCTCCCTCGGGCTCAGCCTGGTCATCTCCTGCATTAACTTGCCTAAACAATGGGATAATATGTGTTAGGGGCGAAATATCAGATCCACAGGTGAAAGTCCAATTAAAATGATGTATTGCTACTCATGCCTATGCACAGGAATCTTCTCACCTAATGGTTAGCATCACCTACTTGGAGTTAAATAAGGTCCATGAATTCAAGGGAGGTTGGGCTTAGTTCACTTGTGGCTACGTAAGGATCCTAGGCTGATCCCTCTTTTAACTCCACCCCCAGATTCTGCCACTCTTTCTCCTACAGTGTGTTAACTTCTATAGCAAGAGCATCAATGCACATTAAAATATAATTTAAACAACAAGAATATTTAGTATTTATTGGATCCACTACATTTATGTAGAAAAGAATAGTCTAAGACAGCATTTTGTTGGAAAGATAATAAAGATAATGCTACTTTACTGAACAAGGTAAACCAATTTACCATGCCCTAACTATGGCTAAAAGGCTAATAATGCAGCATTAGAAAGATAAATGTGTGTGTACACACACATACTTAATTATTAATCAGATTTCTATGGCCACCCATTTCATGAGAAGTGACTCTACATGATATACAACACTCAATATAAGCAATGCACATATAAAACACATTTAAAGATACAAAAACCAACATTAAAGTGAAAATTAATTAAAACTAAAATATATTCAAATCCCACGCAGAGAGAGAATGAGTGCATCCAAGTCCGATAGTGGAGCCATCTAAACAGGTCCCTGGTTCCTCGGAGCCCCCTTTGATTGCTGCACACCCAGCACGAGTCTGTACGGTGGGCCACTGACGTTCACAGTACACGGATTCTTCAATATCCCAAGTGCCATTTTAAGGCTCTACTAGTATGTTCTGTATTCAGCAGGAAAAATTGTAGACGAACTTCCCCTTTTAATTAGATGCTCTGCCTTCTCAAACTGCGCCTCTCTGAAAGAAAACGATGTAGCTGTGCTAAAATTAAACAGTAAATGGAAACGCAGTGACGGCACTTGCAGTGGGCCTTTTGAGATTTCAGTTTGTACTTCAATGAGGTAAGTTTTGTTCTGTAACTAATTCTTTTTTGCTTGTTTGTTTAGGACGATTGGTGAGCACTTCTCCATGAAAGGTAAGCATTCAGAAATCACCCTAAACAGACAAAAGTGGTCCTTGTATGAATACAAACTGGAGAAAGGAGGACCTCTAGCCAGGCTAACTTCTATTTTGTTCTTGACGGTCTCATGTACTGCGCGTACTTCCTGGTTGATGGGATGAAGGCAGAGGAAGTTTGCTTGCAAGCTCATCTCTGGGTTAGATGTTCTGGTTTAGAAAAGCTGTTCATTTAAGGATTTATGATGCTGGCTGTCAATCTTCAAGGAAGACCCTGAATTCTCATTCAGTTGCGCCCCTATCTTACCTTAATATGCAGGTAAATGTAAACCTCTGTAAATGTGAAATGCTAGCTCTGCTCTTACCTAAGGTTAAGAACAGGACTTGCAGAATTTTCCACCTCTCCTAGTTAGATAAACTGGCAGCTGTCCCGGATCCATCTGGTGACTCTCTGGCACGGTATCTCTGATCTGATCTGATCTGATCTGATCTTCTCTCTCTCTCTCTCTCTCTCTCTCTCCCTCCCTCCCTCCCTCCCTCTCTCTCTCTCTCCCTCCTGGCACCCCAGCAAGCCATCTGTTCAGGGTAGTAATTTATCACCCCCTGACGAGACTTCTCATGAACTAACAAGGTTTTAGTAGTGTTGGAATCGTTAACTATCATTTCCTGGCCATTAACCTCTCGGGCTACTCTAAAACTCCCTGCTTTACCAACTTTGTATCAGCTGCCCCCTCATTCTCCTACAAGCACGAAGATGAAGATCTCCTCGGTGGGTCTACTCACCAGCAAAGCTCAGCACGGAGGATTGGACTGGGTGCTTGCATGGCTATAGGAACAGCTCACGAGAGGCTACAGTGGAGAGCGAGGACATCACAACCACTTGACATTTGTGTAAAGTTTTACAATACAAGCTAGTGGTTCTAAAAAAAATTTTTTTTTAAGTGTATACAAGACATAACTGACTGGCATGGCTAAGTTAATGATGCATTCCGTCATTTCTGGTCACTTAAAACAACACAAACAATAAAATCCACGTCGCATCCCTTTATTGCCATCCCTATATCTCCAAAAGAAGTAAACAAGCAATGCTTCTGAGGGGTAGGGATGTTTTAATAATGTGAATATTCTCAAAAATACTTTCCACTCTGCCATTTAACATATCAAAGACTTTCCCTGTGTGGCTTAAATCTTTTTAGAAAAGGTTGAAGCAGGGCTTTTAAAAAAAAAAAAGCAATTATTATAAAATCGATTACTTTTAAAATCCAGCCAAAGTCCATGTGGCTTATTATATGGTTTTGTTACACCTTATAGCGGTGGTCCCCAACATTTCCAGCTTGGCAGTCCAGCCAGGGTAGGGGTGGGGAGGGAATGGTTCTGTGTGAGTGACAGGCAGGTGTGTGTGCAGTTACATTTGGAGCTGCAAGCATCCGCCAGTCGCACAGGTGGAGCTCACCCGCCCTTTGTGCAGCCCGATTCCAAACAGGCCACGAAGGTAATGGGCTACGGCCCGGGGGACCCCTGCCTTACAGGAATCATTTCTGGAAAGAAGGTCAATGCTGCAAAGTACATCCAGAAAACACTGGGATGTGGGCATAGTGGTGACTATTGTAGTAGTAGTAGTAGTAGTAGTAGTAGTAGTAGTAGTAGTAGTAGTAGTGGTAGTAGTAGTAGTTGTAGTAGTATTGATTTTCTTTATGTTATGTGCTCAAAGTACAGTAACAAAATGTGATTATGAAATAGGAACAAAAAGGGCCTCTCATTAATATAGCTCTGCTGAAGCAGTTTTGAGTTTCATTTGCCTGATTGTTCACTTGCGCTTCAACATTTATTGAAATGTTATATTTCTTAATGGCCTTGGAATTAGCTGACATCTGAAGCCAATAACCTACTTTCATCAGAAGCTGAATACAGAGGAAATTCACATTAGCTCTTTAGGCTACTTTTAGAATAATGAACACCTATGTCCTATTCATATAAAGCAGTGCCAAATTATTTTAAAGACTGTGAAACAAAAGATCCAATTAAGTTCCTCCAAGACCAGGTTCCGTGTTGTTAGCAAACATCAGGGCAACCTACTAGCATCAGTCCTAGTAGCTCCTCTGGATGAATTCCAGTCTACCCAAAGAAGCTGGCTTGAGGGGGACTTCCTGGGCACCGGCTTCTGCTTATAGCGCAGGTATTAGCTCTGCCCAGTGAGGCAAAGCTCGCCCAGCTTGGTCTTGTGCACGAGGCCTGTGGCCATACCTTGACCAGGATGCGGTCAACAGTAACTCTCACCCCTTTGTCACCTATTTGGTGTTATGTAATGTGCTTTGTCCGGGGCAGCCTTTAGAGATGATCCAAAAGCTTCAATGAGCCCAGAATATAACAGCCAGATTGCCGGAGGGACAAGCCCACTGCTGGAGCAAAGCCCAATTTGAGGTCGCTGCGTTAATTTTCAAAATCCAGTTCAAAGTACTAGTCGTTACTTAAAGGGTCATCAGCACAGTCCTGGCATCCCCCAGGCCCTGCCTTGCCAAATCCGACCTATCCAGTCTGGTCATCTCAACAAGGCCTGCTGAGTTCCCTCTCTCTATGAAGTTCATGGGACCTGGAGCCTCACCTGGAGAAGGGAAGCGCATCTAGTCTCCTTATAGGTTAAAAAGGGTTAGACCCTTTTCATTTCTCAGGCCTTCGGCACCACCTGTTGGCTGGGGGTGCTTATCTCCGCTGGAAATGGGTTTTATGGCTCTGGGCACTTAGTTACTATGCTACATTCCCAGCATTCGAGATTTAACAAAATATCTGCAGTTATATATTGTGCATAAGGAATAGCCAAAGTATTCACTGTATATAAGTGGATGGTAAACCTGCATCATAACTGCAGCAGTGGGTCTATGATCTCTGTTAACCCCAAATTTTACAACCCAGCCTATCCCAGAACCACCGAGTCAAACTACTGGCTGCATTCTAATAAGCCTAACCCCTCTTGGTACTTGTGTAACAACCTCAGTAATTGTGCACTAACTTTAAAGACTGAGATTTCCATGAAACCAGAGCCAGCGGGCAGCCCAAAGGGAACCGTTTAGCTGGACAGGGCTGGGGCCGCAGCCATCTCTGCAGGGAAGAGCCATTAAACTGCTGCTTGAGCTTTCCCTGCTTTAGGCCAAAGCCTAGAACACGGGTGTCAAACTTGATTGCGTCACGTGACATTTCATGATGTTTTTTGCCTTTGTGGAGCCCGGGTGGGCGTGGCCTGTGTGCAGGCCACCAGTTTGACACCCCTGGCCTAGAATAAGGTCAGCTGCAGGTCACCAGCTAAGTTTGGGCCGGCTACAGGAAGTGTCTCTTCTGAAACTGTTCCACGGGATTATTTTAGGCAGCCAGACTTCATCTACCAGTCCTCATTACCCCAGCCCAACAGCTCTATTCTGAGGACTAAGGCAGCCACGATGAAAAGGAAGAAACCGCAGAGGAGCCAAGCCCTCTGCGGACAGCCTGGCAAGGCCTTCTCGCCTGGAACTTCCCAAGCACAGCCAGCTCTGGCCACCCCCATGGCAAGCCCTACCTACTGATTACGTGATATATTTTACTCAGCGCTCAGATCTCCCCGTTTCGCAAAATATTCTGTGTTT